AGCTAAGAGGGCTGAAGCACCACTAGGGAGGAAATGAGACATCTCTAAAGCCATTTGAAGGCCAGAAAGAAAAATTCCACAGCAAGTGCAATGCTCTTAATTAAATATTAGCTGTAATTAGCCCAAAGTGCAAATGTTGGGGATATTAATTAGAATCCCTCTGGAACTGCTGTCAGTGTTAATAAGTAACTGTGGGGGGTCCCGCCAACATCTGCTTGAGGACTCCAGGTACAAGATAGAAAGCCAGAGCCCAGCATCCCTGGATGCTAAATGCAGGCTCTGCAATGACCACAGGAGCAGCACCCTGGGTTTTCAGAGTAACGCCGGTGCTGATAGAGGCTGGTGGTTTTCATTCGCTCCTGTGTCACCCTACACAGGCTACCCTCACCTTTCCTGGGGTGGCCTCAGAGCATCCTGAAGCCAGCCTCAGACTTCAAATGGTGGTACACATTTCCCAGGCTGTTAGCCCACCACTCCCCAGGGGCCACCCTCCTACTCTGGCTAATGGAACTGCTGGCATCTTTGTATTAGTCATCCCAGCACCCGGCTTCCCCAAAGAATGAGGCATACCAAACCTGAACAACCAAACCCATTGCTGCTGAGTCCGTTCTGACTCATGGCGGCCCCATGGGCTCCATGTAGACCTGCCCCATAGGGCTTTCCTGGCTGTGATCTTTTTGGAAGCAGGTTGCCAGATCTTTCCTCTGCAGGACCGCGGGGTAGATTGAGCCACTGGGTGGGTTCAGTTGCTAATCTTCTGGGTAGCAGCTGGATGCAAACCATTTGTACCACCCAGGGAGCTTGCAAACAGTTGGAAAGCAGGTCCCGGGACCATGGGGTACAGAGGAGTTTATTTAAAAATGGGGACAGAATGTCCCACAAGCAATTCTTTTGCCAAAGGAGAGACACTTTGCACAGGATAAATGCACGTGTTGGCTCATTACTTGGCTCAGGGCTACAGGATGTTCAACTATAAAATGAAGGGGGATCAGATATGCAATGCATGTAAAAGCAGGGATTCTTGACTTTACACTGTGGACAGGTGGGGGTGGATCAGCCTTTTCTGTTGGGGCCTGTCCTGTGCATTGTAGAAAGCGTAGTGACATTCCTAACCTCTACCCACAAGGTCCTAGTGTAAAAGGAGGGGAGGGAAGGAGAATGGGAGGAGGGAGGGAGGGAAGGAGGGGGAGAACAAAGGAAAGAAAAGACAGAGAGAGAAAGTCATGGTGGTCCCATGTGTCAGAGTAAGACTGTGCTCCATAGACTTTTCATGGCTCTGACATTTTGGTCACAGATCACCAAGGCACATCTGGGTAGGATTGAACCATCAACCTTTTGGTTAGTAGCCATTCACTCGCACCAGTCAGGTACTCTAGTAGCACCCCCTACTTGCGACAACCAAAATGTGTACAGACGTTACCTGACATCCCCTATGGGCAAAGTTGTCCCTGTTTAGTAGCTGTCAGTAACTAACATGCTGCTATTGTTGGATGCGATTGAGTCAATTCCCACTCATAGAAACCCCATGTGACAGTAGAACTACCCCATATGGTTTCCTAGGCTGTAATGTTTATGGGAGCAGACGGCCAGGACTTTGTCCTGAAGGGCCACTGGATGTGTTCGAACCACTAACCTTTTGGTTACCAGCATAGTACTTCACTGTGGCACAACCAGGACTCCATGTTTACAAACTGATGATGTTAAATACTCAACCCGGTACCTGGCACTCACAGGCCTGAGGTGAAGGTCATCTTCACTCAGTGTGGCTTCTGAGAACCAGTGAGAAACAGGGACTACGTCTCACATGGGCACAGTGATACCTGAGACATCATGGACCTTGTCCTCCATAAGTCCACTCTTGCTGAGTTTGGGATCTCTGTATGTGTGCACGTGCATACACACATGTGCAAGTGTATGAGATGACTCTTGCCATTCTCCATTCTCAGGAGCAATCCCATTGTATTTCTTCTTGCCCCCTTTGCAGCCAGCATGCTGAAGACGGAACAAGGAATGGTATAGAGCCTCTTGCTCTCAGTGAACTCACAGAGAAATAAGCCCCGTTGACTTGTGTGCGAGGTGGCCACTAGCTGTGGTTGATCATAGGAGGAAGGCCTGCTGGCCTGGTGTAAGCATCCAGGGGTGGAATTTGTAATCTGGGACCTTAAGTGGAAGCAGAGACTAGTCAGACAAGAGATCAGGGGCGAGCTGTTCTGGCCAGTGAATATGAAGACATGGTGATCAGAAGACTTGGAGCTCTTCTGCCTTAGGTGATCATGTGTTTCTTGGCAGAAGATCTCTTCTCTTTCCAATGCAGAGGGAGCTCAGCTCCTAGCAAGAAGCCCCTTGTGATCTGCAGGAGTTTGTAGGATTAAGTCACTTTTCCTGAGATTGCCCTGCAGTGAGGAAAGGCCACATGGTCATACATGATCTGGTAAAAAGATTTTCTTCTCAAGGTTGGGAAGCTTTTTTCCTTCTCTTTGCTATTGCTCATGCAGTCATCTCACACTTCCCTAGGAGGCCACAACTGGAATTTTCACTAGTCTATCTTTCAATTCATGGTGTAGTGCCAAAGGCATTTGATTGCTAACCAGAAGGTTGGAGGTTCAAATCCACCAGCCACTCCACGGAAGGAAGACTGGGCAGTCTACTTCCATTAAGATTTACTGTCTCAGAAACCCAAAGGGGGTCGCTATGAGACAGAATCAACTTGATGGCAGCAAGTTGGCTTGGTTTGTTTTGGTATCTTTCATTGGGAGTCTCTGAGTGGCACAAATGGCTAAGTTGCTAACAGAAAGATTGGAGGTTTGAGTCCACCTGAAGATGCCTCAGAAGAAAGGCCTGGCAATCTGCTTCTGAAAACTCAGCCATTAGAACAGAGTTCCACACACATGGGGTTGCCGTGAGTCAGCGTTGACTCTATGACAATTAGTTTTTTCTGGTGGTTAACTTTCTGTGTATGGTGATCCAATCACCCCACAGGGAGACCTTCCATCACGTTGGCGTCATTTGCCCCAAATGCTGTGGGCAAAAATGTTACAAAGAAATAAATGGTTGTGCACTTTTGCTTTCAAGACACAGGCATTTGGAGAGATTAGTCTGGGGGCGGAAGGGCCTGATGGGAATGTTTTCGCTGTGAAATGTTTTAAATGGAGCCCCAGGTCCCTTCTAAACAACTGCCCCTGCTCTCAGAGGGGGCTCGTTTCCCCTCCTTGTGGTGACCTGCTTGCTGCACTCAAGTGGCTTCAGCTGAAGTGTCCCTCCAAGGCGGGGAGCAGGATCGAAGGAGATGGGAGCCATCCTGATATTGTCTGGCCCTGGTATCATTAGATGAGGGCTAAAGTCACATCTAATTGACCACAAACGATGGGAGAGTGCCACTATTTGGTGGGCTTAATTGTTAAGCTCGTTCTCTCTGATGACACTCCCTGTCTGGTGAGAACACACAAGATGTTAGCACCTCTGGATCACATTTTCTGATGCTGCGTGTGTGTGAGTGTGATTGTGTGTCTGGGTGTGCTTGCATATATGGTTGTGTGTCTGTCTGGATATGTTTGTGTGACTGGGTGTCTATGGGAATCTATGTGAGTGTGTGCTCATCTGTGTATTTGTGTCTGTCTGGATGTGTGTGTGGCTGTGTATATGTAAGTATGTGTGTGTGTGTGCTCCTGTATGTATTTGTGTGTGTCGGGATATGTATGTGTGACTGCATGTATGGGAGTGTGTGTCTGTGTGTGTTTGTCCGGAGGTGTGTGTGAGTCTGTGTGCATATGTGTCTTGGTGTGTGTCTATGTGAGTGCATATGTGTGGAGTATTAGAGTAATGTTGGTGAGTGTGAACAGAGAGATGTTTCCTGAAATGGAAGCATTTGAATTCAGGGTATTTTTCCCCGCTCCGTTCTTTTGACTTGACTGTAATTATCACATTGCATGTTTTGCCTAGATCTGAAGGGTAGATTGTTATGTAATACTCTGTGCTTATGAAAAATAAGGAGGAGGGGAGGTATTGACTACAGAGGCTCGGCTGCAGTCCAGCATTTTACAGAGATACTTAAAATGGGTCTATTACAGAGGGCCATTTTTTTTCCAAATTAGGTCCTGAATGCTCATTGACTGCCTCCTGTTGACACTGTGAACATCTCTCTCTCTCTCTCACACACACACACGGTGACCATTAAAAGAGCATCTTCATCCCATCATGTGAGCCAAGTCACATAAAACTTTGATTGCATTCAAATGCTTGGATGACTTGTCTCTCCCTCTCAGGAACACACGTGTTCCAAGGAACCCTGAGGGTGCAAGAATTAAGTGCTTGGCTTCACACCAAAAGGCTGGTGGTTCAGACCCACCTGATGGTTCCATGGGAGAAAGACCTGGTAATCTGCTTCCATGGAGATGCCAGCCTTGGGAACCTAATGGGGCAGTTCTACTCTGTCGCACGGGTTTGCTGTGAGTTGGAATTGCCTCGGCAGCAGCACCCAGCAACAGCCACGGGGCAGTATACCGACCAGATATACAGGTTGGACATCAAACACAGAGTTGTATATCAAAGAGAGTCCATGAAGTGACAGAAAAAAACTGTCATTTATATATACATCTTCCATTCCATCCCTCCTGGCATTTCAAGGCTTAAGTCAAGCGTCCCCACCAGTGTAGACAAGGATTTGCTCCCTAGTTCCAAAATACGAATGAATCAAGAAAGATCTGCCAGGAAATAAACAAGAAAAAATCCAACCTTGCAGGGCCCAGACCCTCACCGCGGTTGGATACCTGGCTGAATGGCCTAGGGAAAGTGACTGGACCTCTCTGAGCCTCAGTTTGTGTAAATGATGGTCCCGGATTCCTCATGGGGTCCGGTGGAGATGAGCTGGGATTGGTCCACTGCAGACTGTTAGCGCACGGCTCCCACTGGGAGGAGCTCGGGACGGCCGTTCTGTGTCTGCCAATGTCTCCTGGGCACTGGCTCATGGTTTTCTCTCCCTCTCCCCCCTGTTGGTTTTCCAGGGTAACCAGGAAGCAGCAGCAGCCCCTGACACCATGGCCCAGCCTTACGCTTCGGCCCAGTTCGCACCCCCCCAGAATGGCATCCCAGCGGAATACACGGCCCCTCACCCCCACCCCGCGCCAGAGTACACGGGCCAGACCACGGTCCCTGAGCACACGTTAAACCTATACCCTCCCGCCCAGACGCACTCGGAGCAGAGCGCAGACACGAGCGCACAGACCGTCTCCGGCACCGCCACAGTAAGTGACCGCCCCCTCGGGGTGTGGAGGGAGGTGCAGCCTGGACTGGGGTGGGCACTCCCCAGGGTTATGGGGCAGGTACCCCTGAACCCGGGAATGACAGCGAGGGCGCACCCCCATCTACGGGACCGCACAAGTGAGGACCGCTCCCAGCAAAAGAAAGCAGTGCCTACCCGCCTGGTCACACCCACTTCACCACATTCACCTGTCCTCTTTCCTCTTACTGAAGTTTACTTGGTTTGCATGAAGGGCATTTATTTGTAAGGGGAAACACTGGTCTGCTTCCTTTTACGTTTCTGGTTTCCCTGAAGGGCATCTCAGTGCAATCTTGTTGTTCAATGGGCTTGCTGTTGCTCCAACTCTTGGTGACCCTGTGTGACCGAGCAGGAACGGCCCTCTAGGGTTTTTGAGGTTGTAATCTTTACGGGAGCAGTTGGCCAGGTCTTTGTCTCCCAGAGCGGGTGGGTTCTAAGAAGTTTAACTTTTGTTCCACAAGAGTTTTGTAAGAGCCTCGTTGTTGTTGTTATGTGCCGATAGTGGCCACAAAATCCCCCATTGTAGATGCACAATTCAAAGATGTTTAGTAGATCTGTTGAGTGGGGCAACCATCCCCACCGTGAAACCTCAGAGCAAATCACCCCAAGAAGAGTCGTTTGCAGCTGCCCCCATTCACGTCCCAGCCATTTAAGCCTGGCCTTGCTCTCTGGCCTGATGCATTTGTGATTTACCCGCTCCTGTTCATACCTCAGCTGTAGTTCAGAGGAGGTTTTGTGTCTTGATGGTGGTGGTTACACTTCTCTGTGCACCAAGAAAGAATGAAGGTTATAGTATGTAAATGAGACTGTATTAAAAACCAGCCCCAAATCCAAACCTACTGCTATCTAGTTGATTCAGACTGCTATCTAGTTGATTGGAGACCCTGTGTTGTTGTTGTTGTTATGTGCCATCAAGTCGGCCCCGACTCATAGCGACCCCTCCTTGGGTTTCCGAGGCAGTATCACTACGGAAGTAGGATTGCCCAACCTTCCTTCCGAGGAGTGGCTGGTGGGTTTGAACCGCCAGCCGTCTGGTTAGCAGGCAAGTGTCTTAGCCACTATGCTACCAGAGCTCCCATGGAGACCCTGTAGGAGAGAGTAAAACTGCCCAGGGGTTTCCAAGGCTGTCAATCATTATAGAAGCAAAGCCCAAACCAAACCCAATGCTGTGGAGTTGATTCCACTCATAGCGCCCCTAGAGGACAGAGTGGAACTGCACCACAGGGTTTCTAAAGCTTTAAATTTTTATGGAAACAGAATGCCCCATCCTTCTCCTACTAAGCACCTGGTGAGTTTAAACCACTATCCTTTGGGTTAGCAGCTGAATGCTAACCACTGTACCACCAGAGCTCCCTTACTATAATTAGGGATGGAATGATTAAGTCAGTTTGATGCTCGGCAGGTGTTCATTACAGTGTTGATGGCCAGGTAGTAGTGACAGAATTGATGCTTGTTTGCTGGTTTTTGGCTAGCAATGGTGGTAGGATTTAAGTGGGTTGTTTTAGGACTAGAAAAGTGTCTGATCGGGCATTATTCATTAAACCTCAGTCTGTGCCAGGAATATGCAAACTACTGTTGAAGATTCATCCATGTATTTATTAATTCACAACTATTTATTAAGTATCTACTATGGTCCAGGAAGGAGCTCTGGTAGCGTAGTGCCTAAGGCACTTGACTGCTAACCAGAAGGCTGGCGGTTCAAACCCACCAGCCACTCCTCAGAAGGAAG